AAAAACAAATACATTCATAAACACACACCATTACTTTCATATATATATATATATATATATATATATATATATATATATATATATATATATATATATATATATATATATATATATATATATATATATATATATATATATATATATATAGTATATAAAGTTCAATTCTGTAGGTACATATGTAACGCACCTGTCATTACAAAGGAATATAAGAAAATAATAGACTTCATCACCGTAGTGTTATACATCTAAAGTGCTCATCGTCTAAATTACTGATTTTAAAAATTAATATTAAAGAAATTTCATTTTTCAAACTTATAGTGATAAATTTTTAGGTTACTATCTGAATGGAATCCGGGCGTCCTCCGGCGCCCCGACAGAGTGCTATTCAGCGCTCCGGGATTTTCACTGTTAGTTATGGCGCCTACGTTTGTTTAAGTGATTGCAAAAGACTATTAATAAGTAGAAATAATTTAATCGTTTACTAAGTTGAATCAGGCGGTTTCGCCGGCATCCCAGCATGGTGCGATTTGCCCCCCCCCCCAGTGGCTAGACTGTAAGCACTTTGCGTTAAAGTTTGTGTTTGCGTTTGTGTTTGGATTTGGGTTTTGGATTTGGGTTTTGGATTTGGGTTTTGGATTTGGGTTTTGGATTTGGGTTTTGGATTTGGGTTTTGGGTTTGGGTTTGTTTTCGTTCGATTTTTCGTTTGCTGTTGTGTTTGTGTTTTTTTTTTGTGGTTGGGTTTGTGTTATCGTTTGTGTTGTCGTTTGTGTTTGTATTTGTGTTTGTGCTATGTTTGCGTTTTTTTTGTGTTTTGGTTTTGGTCGGTTGTGGCTATGATGGGCAATGCTGGGTATACGCTGATTATTAAACACACATGTCATGGTCCTTTACAAATAGGTTTTTCACTTAGGCCAGTGCAGGGCCTGGCCGGGACGGCTAGTGTATATATATATATATATATATATATATATATATATATATATATATATATATATATATATATATATATATATATATATATATAAATGCATCATTACTAATAAGTAGAAAATTAAACATGTCAGATTTCATGAGTGACTGATGCTTTTATTAAAGAAAGGCAGTTTGTTTCATTTTTTCAAAATCTTGTCAGTGCATTTAAAAAACTTATTATGATTGCTTTTTTGTAATCGTTTTATTATAGTTGATATTTGACCCTTTTAGCGCTTCTTGAAAGTTTTATTAGCTTGGACTATGCATGCTGTCAGTGTAGGCTGATGTCATCGTCAAAGTAGAGGGCTTCATGACTTCAATAAATACTTGGATATCCCGTGTTCTCTCCATCTCTCTTGTTCTCTATTTTCGATCGATTTTCCAGTACAACTAAGCGCTCTGAATTTGTGCGGATTATTACTTGCTCTGTCATGCGCACTTGTGACTTACCACAGATGTGCTTTGTGTGTTAGCGAGTGCTATGGTTTGCCCTAGTATGTGCCTCTGTGTGTGTTTGTCTGTGTGTGTGTGTGTGTGTGTGTCTGCGTGTGTGTCTGCGTGTGTGTATTTACCTATATTGTACTTGCTCATGGATCCGTGAATTTTAATACTTGAAATACGCACGTAGCGGCATGACTAACCTGACCCAAAACAGAGAATGTAAAAAAATTCTAGGCGGGGCGAGGAATGAAATCGTTGAAGCATTTAATTTTACGGCGCCAACTTACTTAGCCTAAAGGAAAACAAGTCAAGCAGAACGTTAACGTGTCACACGGGCAAATAGATGCTTTTAGAATGCGCTAAATTTAAAGTTATTCTAAGCTCGTTAATGCATGAAAAGAATTGTAAACAGGCGATCAAAATATATTGGAATTGGCTGAGATTTGTTAACCGGCCTCATGTTGAAGTTGTTATTCATGAAAATAAATTTAAAAAAAAATCCTACTATGTATGGAAATTGAACAGAAATAGCACAATCATTTGATGAAATAGAACATAAAATAGTGTAGAAATAATTAAATAAAAATTTAACAATGAAGGTGTTTTGCCTATTAGATATGTCTTCTTTTTTGTCTATGAAAAGATTTGTCCCCTGAGAAAATTTAGTGTGTTGGATATATTGACGTGATTTTATTTTTCTGTCTGCGATGAATTGTTCATGGCTATTTTATCATATAATACTTTGTCTGAGATTTATGTCATGAGAAGTTTGTCCTGAGATAATTGTCTGTATGTATTTTATTTGAGAATTGTGCCCTAAGATAATTTGTTATTTAACCGTTCATCGAGACAATTTATTGCTGTTTTGTGCAAAGTATGGTAAACACGTTACATAAAGTTCGTTATTTTATAAAAGCTTAATACATGTTTTGTGCTTAAACGATACGCTGTGTGCACACTTAGGGCCAGATCTATTTATACCTGCCAATGGCGAAGCAGGGTGTAACAAACACACATTTTTAAATCCCGCACAACATCTGTATAGCACAGTGATCCTCAAATTTTATATAGTTACAATTATGGAATTTTTGTTCGTATTTCTACAAATATTTCTTCTAAACAATTGATAATGCACAGTGTATTTAAACGATCTCAAAACTGGCAGCAAATCACATTTCGAACACGTACGTGTTTTTAAAATATTTTCAAATGTGGCTTCTCGTTTTGTTGTGCTATGGATGACATAATAGCACAGCTTCAGTAATCAAAGGCGCCCCTAGCAGAATATTCTACTTACCCCTTATGGTAAAAGCGCTTCTAACAGAATATTCTAGTTTTCCCTAATAAGGGTTGAAACAATGTCAGATTATACCCTTTATTCCTAAAAAAATTCCCTGACGTCTTTCGTATGAATTTCACCACGCAAACCCTTTGAACCCTAACTTAAAAAAAATAAATGAAATCGACCAAATAAGACAGATTGATTGTAGGGATGCCAAACTAACAGGTCTATTTTAAGTTAGTCCTGAAATTCAATCCCAAATGTTTACAAATCCTAAATATTTTAAAAGACTGAAACTAAAAGTCACTCGGATAAAAAAAAATTCATAGCTATTTCATTACATTTAGACATTCTAGATATAGTACAAGATATTAGTGGGTTTTTATCTTTGTTACAAGCTTCAAATTAAATTTAATATTTAAATGATTATGCATACTATAAATATAGTTTAATATTTCAGACCGATCTTGACCCCATTATGTAATATTACAGAATATTCTAATTACAGGTAATAATAGAACCGCTACCAATAGAGTATTCTAGTTAACTCTAATGTAAGTGACGCTTTAAACACGCTTTTAGTTACCCCTAATGTAAGAGGCGCTTTTAGAAAGGATTTTCCAAACTTGAATTAAAACATACAAGAATAATATGTTCCAGCTAAGATCATGAATAAAGCGATACTGTAGCGTAAAATTAGTAATAAGTTAACGGGATTTACATTGATTCCGATGGTATCTTAATTAACAATAAGTACAGGAAATAAAAAATAACAAATTCACATGGAAATAACTTCCTAGTATTTGTTGCATGGCGGATAAAAATAGTGCTAAACACTTTCCAATATACTACAATGAAACATTACTTTGGTTTTCTCCAGCAATCTAAAAATACAATGTAGTTTCGGGAAAAGGGCATGATAATAGAGAATTCCCCTTTGTTTGTTTTTTCATAGAAACTTTTATAAAATACGTTGGCTTATTAGAATGTGATTTTAAATTATCAAAGTATCAAATTTTTAGCTTTAGGCTTTTTAGATTTTAGAACTGGTCTCCAATTCTCGTAGCATAGCTTTTCTTTCGGTTATTCTATCACATAAGGCCTACTTTTCTTCGAGTATGTTATTGTTATGTTATGTTTATTTACTTTGGCTATGAAGGGGCGTAACTCGGTAACTTTGTTAGATGAAGAAGAAAAAGAGCGAAGATTCGAAGAGGATGATAAATTGAAAGAGTTACACTAGGAGAAAGAACAACAAAGATTCGAGTAGTAACAAGGTTATCCTGGTCAGTTACTATTAAAATGGAGAACCGGGATGGGATAAGGAAGTATGAGAATATGAATAAACTGTTGATAGAAAATGTATACGAGAAGACCTTATAAAATGAGAAAGATAGCCGCTGTATTTTAGTTGTCTGAAATCTTCTTAGGAAAAATGCCCAGCGGTGTTTTATGGTTATGTTTTTTCCCTTTTCTAATATATACGGCGTAATTTTGAATTATATCTTATATCGTTAAGATTTACTGTAGGTTACATTCCGATTTAGCCACTAAGTATTGCACAAGTTAGTTTGTATGAAGCAATGCGGATTTTAGACATTTCATTTAACACTCTCCCATGAGATAAAACTTGTCACTTTAACCCTACGCCCAAATAAAAGAGACCACGTATCTATATAAACCTACACACATTTTTAGCTGTGTTTACTTGAGGACGTGCTATTGTGTTATCTGTGTGTAGAGTTACAGAACAGGGAACAAAGAGACTTAACCCTCCAGGTAAAATGTCACTGCACCCGTCTGAAAAAGAAATGTTAATAACCTTGATAATGCAGACAAGCGACGTTTGAAGGTCGTATCCTCGTTTCTAAACATAGAGTTATATTTATAACGTCTAGGAAAAGCAATCTGGCAACATTTATTAAAATATCTCTATCAGAATTAAAAAAAAAACGGTAATATCTTTTACTATATTGTATTTCAAACTGAAAAAAAACAATTTTTTAAAAATTTTAGTCAATAAATTAATCACTTTTATCATAAGTTTAAACTGTTGTACTTTGATGCCAATAATAATAAATTTTAAATTATTACTGTTCCTCTATTTCTGACGCAAGATTTGCTATGGATTTAATCGATTGCAAGGGGGGGGGAGGGAGGACAACATTTTATAATGCAATGTAGTACCGTCATTGATTGGTCGACAACAGTCAGCAGTGTTTGTAATTCAATATAGGCAAATCCCCACAAAGGGGCGCTGTATATATGTGCGGCAACCGCAAGCGGATCTTCAATCCTGTGGGTAATATTAATTCATATTCTACAACTCACAACGCTTTTGTAAAGTATAACAAAACTTTTTACTTCTTGATTAATTGGTAAGTTTTATTAAAACGTTATTCTTTAACAAAGTTTGTTTTTTTAGCTTTAAACATAGAATACATAGTGATTTTCTAAACTTTTACACACAATGAAACTCTGATCAATCTTTATTATATAGCAAACAAAAGGCACTTAAAATACATAGAAAACGCAACAGTATATAGAGTAAACACAAAATTATTATTTACATTCAAGCGATACATAATATATTTCTTGTTATATACAAGATAACTCGTGGAACCAATCTTTAAATAAATTATGTATATATTAATTGTTTTATTTTTCGAGTTAAACTTTTCTTCAACCATTCTCGTCAACGAGAAAAAAAAGTGTCTTAGTTTCTGCGAATAAAATAGAAAATTGCACATGCTAGTAGCCAGAAAAACTAAAACTAAAAAAAAAACAATCTACAATAACATAGTCGGTCAACATAATGGCGTAGTGGGCATAACTTGAGACCTATGTGTTTCAATGTACGCTTGGTTGTCTACCTACCTCGGGGGGAGGAGTAGGGGCGGACACTGGTAAACTATTTTTTTTCTATTTCATCGGGAGGAGGGAGGAAATAAGAGAGGGTTGGGGGCGTTGCGATAGTACTTCGAAAAGGGGGGGGGCACACTTTACTACTCCCCGAAGTAATTCCTGAAAGAAACTGCGCGCGAAGATATTAAAACCACGATTTCTTTTATATTATTATGGCGGTTTATTGCTATCAGCCTTGTAGACCTTTTCTCTGTTTGGTTGTGAGGCAGGGACGGAACTACAGTGCCGCCAGACCCCGCAATGCGGGGGGGGGGGGCACTTCGTTTAGGGGGCCCACACCCGACCATAATCAATTTTTTGATAGTTAAAAAAATTACTTTTCTTTCACTTTTGACTTGATGGTTGTTTTGTAAAAAGAATACTGTGGCTGCCATTGGATTATCTTTATTCTATAGACACCATCTCACGCTCTTGTACAATTTTTTTTCCTTTTGTTTTTAAACCATTGTGAATGATAGGCAAACGTTTAAATCACTTGTATTATTTATTTACTTCTTTTAAATAGTCAAAATACGTGCTCTTAAGTACTTTTTAATAGATTTGTGCTAAACAAATTAAAAAGCAATTACTTCTCTCAATTATTTTTTAAATACATACTAAAGAATGACATAGTATAAAAAGGAAATGCATTTCAAATTAATAATATAACTACAAAAAGACATAAAAATAAACATAACACGAGAAACCATTACACATACAAAGCTTTGATGTTTCATATTCTTTTGACCGATTGTAGGTTAAGAAATAATATGGCAGTCATAAAATAAAGCAGCGATTTTCAAAACATTAGAGTCAGACTAATGCACTCACACACATGACATGTTGTTGTAATTTGTTTTAATTAAAAAAAAACAAAGACATTTTTTTCAAAACCTGATCACGCCAGAAATGAGTATCCTATGTTGATATTTTTTTGTATATATATATATATATATATATATATATATATATATATATATATATATATATATATATATATATATATATATATATATATATATATATATATATATGCTGTGAGGTATATATAAAACTTCCTGATTGTTCAATTGCTCCAACGAACCCAACCTCCGTTTTATACAGATCGCGATCGGGAACCACTGAACATAGTTCCCTAGGCGTCCGCACCGAAAGAGACCCCCCCCCCTCGCCCCCATAATATATGTTTCGAAGAACACTGTACCTAGAAAACGAATGAGCCATTGGGAACGGAATGCGCGTAATTGAAAATTTAAGGAGCGGTTTTGTACAGGATAGAATACACCTACAAGATCCGCAAAAAACCGGTTTAAGAAATGCTTTAGCTATGCTATTGTTCGCTCTGGTATTTCGTTTCGCTCCTGCAGACAGGTGCAGCAGACCAACGTTGATCCCAGAAAAGCCCAAAAATTAATGCGCCGTTTTTTATGCAACTTTCCATCAAGTTCTGTAATTTGAATAAGCTTATATAGGCCTGTTTAGTTACTTGATCGTTACACCTCAGTGATTTGTAATGTTCAGTAAGAAAATATAATTTTCTCATTATATTTTCTCTCTAAGCTAACACTGACAACTAAAAGAGTCGACTACAAGGTAAATAGTAGACCGGGGTGACAATTTATTTGCCATTTTTAAGGAAACCTTAAAAGATATATTTAAAAAAGTGTATGCTGTACTCGTGATTTAACCAATATAATTTCTCTTGAAATCTTCCCACTGTTGTAAACATTAAGCTTAATTATGATGACTAATGATTATGTTCACAAAAAGTAGGAAGGTTAAAAAGAAACAAGAGAGATAAATGAGAGAGGGGATTTAGGGAGACTGAAAAAAAATCCAAATCGGTGGAGCTTTTATGAGATTAATGCTTCTATTCTCTCTTACAACACTTACTGCAAGGATACAGAATACTTTAGTACTTGTGTTTCACATATAGTTACATACTATCAAGTTTGACCTTAAGAGTCAGAATATTTGCTTCGAGAAAACAAGTTTCATAAAAATAAATTTAAACATAGAAATATATGCTAAACTTTAAAATAAAAAAATTAATGAAATAATTTAAACAGATAAAAAAAAACGCAACGTTCGGCTCATTGTCCAGATTGATTCTTTACCTGAGGTATGAAATGTTAGATTTTCTGAATATTGCCTCTTTCTATTTGAAGCAAACATGCAGGTTTTTGTTTATCTAACTCGTTTCATTTCAGCAATCAGTAGCCATTCCTTTTCTGCTTTCGTTTTTAGATCTGTCTATAAATTCTTCTAGGATTATAGTCTCATCACCACCACATAAGTTAGGAGACTAACGATGAACTACAACTACAACTATTTAAGTGCTTTCTTGGCAGAGTTTGTTCAAACGAGTGTTTTGTAAAGTGAGAAAAATAACTTACAACATTAAACAAGACATGACGCTGTCTTCGTCTTTATCAGACATGGTACACTAATCACCTCTATATTTTAGCAATCTCGGTTATAAATTTTAATTTATATGTGGTTGCTTCTAGATAACAATTCTTTGAAACCTCGACCAACTTTTTTAATTAAAATCTTACATTCAATTTTATATAATAAAAATACAGAATGACCTATCAAATCATATTTGTTTTATCGATTAATAGAGTTCATTGTTACTTTTCTAAAATTGAAATTGTTTTATTTCAATGTGAAACAAAATTAAAATCTGTAATCAAATTAAGCCAGCTATAAATAGAAATTTATATTGAGCGTCTAGTAGTAAAAACCAACGAACACTTTATTTACAATCTAAAGCATACAATCTACCAACTATAGGTAGGCTACTATTTTATTTGCCTTATTTTCGTAACAATATAAAATTATTTACTTGGGTGGTTTTCTTTCTGTCATCCTGTCATTTAATATCATTCCTTGAACTACTTTACTTTTGGTTAACAATAGAATTATAAAATTGCACTTGACAAAATATCTTACATTATCGACGCGGTTTCATAAATGCGCACACTTCAACGCAGCAAACCTTCCGTGTCCTTATATAGGCCTACAACATTAACATAAATTATAGAAACGATTTTTAAAAATGTATAATTTTACATTTCATCAATTAATACAGATTTTTATATAGATTGTCATATTTCATACTAATCTTTGCGTAAACCTGTTCTTTGCTAAGTTTTTAAAAATGTCGACCCCACCCTCCAAAGCGAGCGGCGCAACACCACCAACAGGATCCTCAATTCGTCAGCCATCTTTATACCGTGTACTGCGCTTCGGTGAGATTATGTGACGTGGAGCAGTATATTTTTATTTGCGAGGTATATATTTTCCCGAAGATTATATCTTGTAATACCTGTTAATCAGCCAATTTGTCAGACTTTAGAATATGTCCTTTTTTCAAGTCTTTGCATTAAATGTTAGAAACTGTATTAATGTTCACATAATTGTAAGATAACAACAACTGCATGTGCCTCTCTTCTCGTTTACAAGATTAGTATACTCATATGCTATTTAGATTTTATTTAACTTTAGCACATGGAATATTAAATGCATTTATTTCTTGTTTTGTTTAGTAAATGCAACTACGCTTTAAAAATTTTAAAACCATTAACTCCACTGTAAGAAATTAGACATTTTTCTTATTTGGACTAATATACGCATTCATCAGGAATGTTCTTTATAAATAATTATTCTACATCTTTTTCAATTATGTTTGAGTGTCAATTTTCTCAATATCACTAAAAAAGTCATGCAATATTTAACACTATCACACACCACACTTCTTTTGTATACCAACACTAACTGCAGCAACAAACAATTTTCAACATATCAATCGGTACAGCAGTACAGCCGCGCACTTAAAGTGCAGAAATTTTACACTGCCACTACCAACTACCGCCTTGTTGAAATATTGTTGTAAAAACGTCATTTATATTGCAGAATGAACGTTAATAAATGTTTTAAGAGAGATCTTTTTAAAAGTTGTCAACTTAAAGTGGATATAAATCATCAATACACACATTAGTTTTATTTTAGTTTTATTTTATTTAGGATAATGTATCTCACGAACAAAACGTATCGCAAGCAATTAGTTGTGTGAATTGAATTATAAAAATATCTTGATGCTTTTGTTTTGTTATCCTATATGTGTAGTTAAATTTATCATTTGGTTTGGATTTAAAACTAAAATAGAGATATAATATTGACTATGTAAAAAAAATGTAAACAATCCAAGCTCATTAGTTCTACAAAATAAGATCAGCGAAGATTAATCACACAAAAAGGTCTTTGAAGTCACTTCATATAGTGTAAATGCCATAAATTTTAACATTAATTTAATGAATATTGTTTTCCACACAAAAGATGTATAATATAGAAGCAACTGCCTGCATCTGTATTATTGCAGATTAACATTAAAATTTAAAAATAAACATTGCCTATCATTTTGGTACTCCTTTAAATAGCTGAGAGCAACTATCTTTTGCAAATTGTATGTGTTTTTTAATCATTAATATGCTGTAATTTAGTTGATGAAATCTGAAATTAAAAATGAATATTTTAATTCATTTTCCCTCATCTATTGAAGTTTTTAAATTATAATAATTCATAACTCTATATTTATTAACTTCAGAAGCCGTATTTTACATTATTCAAAGCTGAAACAAACGGATATTGATATAATTTTCAGTGCAAATTCAGAGATTTCCAAAGCTGTATTTACATGAACAATTTTATGTTATTTAATGAAATATAACTTTACTTAATACGCATTTTTCATCGCCTTCAGATGGCCTATTGGGATGACCGCAACTAAACAGATGTCAATTTGACATTATTTACATCACTTAACGTTTTTCGCTGCTCCTTCTCTGCCAACTAGATATTTAAAGTGGCGTTGAAATTATCTCCAGCTTGTTACCTTTGTTTATTGTGTGGTCCCTTGATAAATTTAATGTAACATACCAAACTGGCTTTAAAATGTGGCAGTAAAGTATGATTATTTGGTATGCTGTGTTATCCTGGGTATGATTTTATTTTCGTGTATCCTATACCGTAAGCAAAATTTCCTGTGCATGTATAAAAACGGTATGTTTTAAATGTTAGAAATTGAACTTGAGATACTTTCTCTATTTAGAGTATAGACTCGATTAACGGGTGTAGATTTTTTAATAATTTTACTTACCTATTAAATTTTTTTACTGTTTAAATTTGTCAGCAAGATTTCAGAAAAAAAAACTTGTTTATTAATTTTTTTCCCGTTTGCTAACCAAGTTATTTTTTTTAACCTGCAGATCATTGGATAGGACGAGATAGTGTTGAGGCTTAGTCAACGATAGTTATATTAATTACTTCTGTCTGGGCCATAATATATAGGCCATTTTTATGGTTCCGATAAACTCTGCATTGAAACCTTTTTTTTTTTTAATGTCTGATTATTTCTCCTGAAAACCATGACACAGTAAGATATTTGCATCTGACTATACTATCAAAAGCATTTTCAAAATCAATGAAAAAAGCAAAAACAAAGGGGCCACTTTCATTCATACTTTTTCTAGTATTTGTCCCAAGGTAAATATGTTGTCTATTTGTCTTTCCAAAGCCCAGCTTGTTCTTTCAGCATTTATTCCTCTGCAAATCAGGATATTCTGCTGAGAATGATATCGCAAAATATTTTACTTGTGAGTGATTAAATGTGATACCTCGACAAGTTTTACACAGCCTTTTATTTCCTGTTTTTTTTGGCATTTTGACTATTAGACCATTTTTACATTCATTACAGTTTTTTCGTTGTTCCAGACTTCTTGCAAAAATTGTAATAATGAAGGTTTTGTGCGTTTCTTAATTTCATTTTTTGTATACCTGCAGCAAGCAGTTTTATTAATGCAGAATTTTTATAATTGATTTTGCAAAATAACGACTTTACGTGCATATTAATTTTTAGCAATGTTTGTTCTGCAATAGATGTTTCGTTATTCTACACGTAACAATAAAGTCCTCTAGTTTTATGTTAACAATTGCAACAGCTGTTCTTTTCTTTCTAACATCATACACCCTGACATTTGTCCATACTCTCATATATTTGTGGTTGTCAATGTTTGGGGGAAAAGTATATCTGTTATAAACACTGTTATAACGTGTTAATCACTAACCGTTTATGTGTTAGGGATGTAGAGGGGCGCTCTCGGGAGCCCCCGATTACACATCTAGCCGGGGCGCAGCGTACGGCCCCTGGCTAGATTTAGTCATCGAATGTCGCAGGCGCCATAGTGCTAACAGGATAGCACAGTACGCCAAATCGCACCTTGGCAGTGAGAGACTCTAAAACCCCATCTTATAAATAGTCCACCGCACTGTTTAAAACGAACGTAGGCGCCAAATCGCAACCCTCAGGGGCAAGGGAGGAAGCTCCTGATTCGACATAGTCAATTATTATTGTTGCCCATAGTGTCCGTAGTGTATAGCCTTTTTTTTAAAACGAACATAGGTGCCATAGTGCTCACAGGGGAGTCCGGGGCGCTTCATGCCAAGCAATAGCTGGGGCGCCTGTGGCTGTGCTTGTTGACGTTTTAACGCTGAATATAGTAGTACCCTTTACCCACTATGCAGGACGCCCAATTAACGGTCACCCTAGTGCTACGATAGCCGCTCTGAAATTTTGGGCGCCAAAACCATGTATTGAAGAATATCGCACCCTCCCGGGCACCGCCCATAAGAGATTTATTTTCGTAGAAATCTTCTCGGGAGTATTCTCTTCAACCCCCAAAGATTTCATGGCACTCGCTTGAACGGTGTAAAACTGCATCCGACTTTTATTTTTATATACCATATAGTGAGAAAAATCTCACCCTTCAGGGGCGCCGCCCTTGCGAAATAAAAAAAAAAAAGATCTTTTTTTTTGCAGAAACTTCTCCTGGATTATTTTAATTAACTCCCCGAAAGTTTCATTTCGATCTGATGAATGGTGACTAACCGCAATCTATTTGTATTTTTATACTAGTTAAACGGGCACTAGGTTGATGTGTTTTATTTTTCTCTAAACCGAAACCAAAACCAAAATCGCCGCCCCACTACAAATTTAACCAGAAACGAAAAATGTAACTGAAAACGGTTTTTATTCAGAATCAGCATTTTAACTGGATTTAACCGTGATGTACACGTAGTTACTGCATATTCATACTAAAAATAGTCGTAGTCTTACCCCTTAGCCTTACACTTAAGCTCAAAGTTGACAAAAGTCGCATTCGGAGTTTCTTTCAGGCAACTCTTCGGGGGAGGGCGGAGCCCCCCGAAGAACGTCTACCGCTCCCTATTACGAAATACAATTTATATAGAAAATATATACTTTTACCAGTGTCCGCCCAGTGTCCGCCCCCAGGGATTTCCGAAATTACAGAGTGACAGAATAGCGAAACTATTATTATAGATACCGTATATGGAGAAGAATAGAATCACGCCCTGTCCGGCCGCCACCCCTGCGAATTTAAATATTTTGTTTCCCAGATACATCCTTATGAGTATTCTCAACAGCTTCCCAGTTTCATGGCGATTGCTTGAAAGGTGTAGCAATGCATAAAACAGAAGCAGATAGCCTTATTACTGAGACTGAAACTTCCATACAGCGCGCCCTTGGGTCTGCTGGGTGGTAGTGTAGGCGCAAATGCGCGCGGGAACGGACATGCTAGTAAAAAAATATACGTTTATTGAACATATATTTCAAATTCGGCGACTTGGTTTGCTCTTTTCGTATGGGATCTAAATAAAACTATACTTGTGATCCATCGTTTTGATTATTATTTTACATTGCAAGTTAAAAAGTGACCAGTTACTTTGTAGGTATCTGACTCAGGCCTGAATGGAAAAAGAAGCTACAATAAAAATATAAGTCAGGGCTGGGGCAACTTTTCTCAATTTAGCTCTTTTTCCCCGGGCCGCTTTGATATAGAACGTCCACCCTACACATGCGCATGATTGTTCAAGTTTTTTTAATATTATTATTACTGGAACCTAGGATTACACAATTTTGAGAATACAAACTAGAAGAGTAAATTTATTGTTTCTGATAACTGTGCACATTATTTGTATTATGTAGTTTATAATTGATTATGTATATTTTTTCATTTTGTTGTTGTTCCTTTTTCACAGATCAAGATTTGAAAGAGTGTCTCATCTTGATTCCCGTTTAATAACGTCCAACTTTGAAATCTATATTATATCAAACGTAAGTTATAGAACATAATTTTAAAAAATCAACTATTAATTTATTATGCTTTAGCTAACAACTGTACGTTTAACACAATGAATCGCTTGTGTGTGCGTTAAAATATTTTTTATTTAAAATTCAAAGGACCATAATCCTTACAAACACAAAAAAAACCCATTAAAATACAAATAACGAATAATTTATTGCAATTGCCTTAACTACAAGTGGCCCTAAAATATGTTGCACATTTTAGGCGGCGGCTTACAAAAAAATTGAATATAGTCGATCACATTCAATTGTTTAGACAATGTATTTAAGTTCATACTTAATAATGTGATTGAATTATGTATAAAATAAATTTAGTGTGTTGGATATATTGACGTTATTTTATTTTTCTGTCTGCGATGAATTGTTCATGGCTACCTTATCATATAATACTTTGTCTGAGATTTATGTCATGAGAAGTTTGTCCTGAGATAATTGTCCGTATATATTTTATTTGAGAATTATGCCGTAAGATAATTTGTTATGTAACCGTTCATCGAGCTAACGACAATTTATTGCTGTTATGTGTAAAGTATGGTCACACTGTATGTATACTAAACACGTTACATAAAGTTCGTTATCTTTATAAAAGTTTAAATATGTTTTGTATTAAAACGTTACGCTGTGTGCACACTTAGGACCAGATCTATTTATACCCGCCAATGGCGAAGCAGGGTGTAGCAAACACACATTTTTATATCCCGCACAACATCTGTGTATCTCAGCGGTCCTCAGATTTCATATAGTTACAATTATGGATTTTTTTTCTTATTTCTACAAATATTCCTTCTAAGATATTGATAACGCACACTGTATTTAAACTACCTCTAAACTTGCATTAAATCTTATTTTGTACACGTACGTTTTTTAAATTATTTCTCGTTTTGTTGTGCTATGGATGACATAGTTGCACTGCTTCAGTAATCAAAGGCGCCCCGAACAGAATATTCTAATTATCCCTTATGGTAAAAGCGCTTCTAACAGAATATTCTAGTTATCCCTAATAAGGGTTAAAACAATGTCAGATTATACCCTTTATTCCTAAATATTCCCTGACCACTTTCTTATGAATTTCACCACGCAAACCATTTGAACGCTAACTTAAAAATTAAATAAAATCGACAAAGTAAGACAGAAAGATTGTAGGGGTGCCAAACACACAGGTCTATTTTAAGTTAGTCCTGAAATTCCATCCAAAATGTTTAGTAATCCTAAATATTTTAAAAGACTGAAACTAAAAGTCACTCGGATATTTTTATAAAAATTCATAGCTATTTCATTACATTCTAAACGTTTTAGACATAGTCTAAGATATAAGTGATTTTTTTTTATCTTTGTTACAAGCTTCAAATTAAATTTAATATTTAAATGATTATGCATACTATAAATATAGTTTAACATTTCAGACCGATCTTGGCCCCATTATGTAATATTACAGAATATTCTAGATATAGGTAATAATAGAACCGCTACCAATAGAGTATTTTAGTTAAATCTAATGTAAGTGAAGCTTTAAACAGACTATTTTAGTTACCCCTAATGTAAGAAGCGCTTTTAAAAAGGATTTTTAGTTACCCCAAACTTTAATTAAAACGTACAAGAATAATATGTTCCAGCTAAGATCATGAATAAAACGATAATGTAGCGTAAAATAGTAACAAGTTAACGGGATTTACATTGATTCCTATGGTATCTAAATTAACAATAAGTAGGCCTACAGGAAATAAAAAAATACATTCACATTGTGAAATAACACCCATGTCTATGTGGCGTGGCGGATAAAAATAGTGCTAAACACTTGCCAATATACTACAATGAAATATTACTTTGGTTTTCCCCAGCAATTTAAAAATACAATGTAGTTTCGGGAAAAGGGCATAATAATAGCGAATTCCCCTGAAAATTTTTCAGTAACATTCAAACTAAAAAATACGGACACAATAATTATTATATTGAAATCGTTTTCACAATTGAGAAATAAATATTTTAAAATGTGCTGAGTCACCTATTGCAAAAACCTTATTCAAAAACAGTTTATTCAGAACAAGAAGTATTGCGCATTAACATTAGAAAGTATATTTGTAATAATTAGCTTTATGTATTAAATTAATTAAATTATTGGTCTTTTTAATTAAAGATAAATATGCAATCATATAACAACTTTTTATTTGCGTTACCTGACTTAACCCAGAGGTTTATTAAGATTAATTTTTAATTACATTAGTATTACATTATAAGTACTAATTGTTGAATTTCAATTCTCATTGTAAAGAAAAAATTGTAAACTCTCCTAAACTATCTCTATTAAAATATATAAATGAATATATATATATATATATATATATATATATATATATATATATATATACATATATATATATATAAGTGTGTTCTACCTCACTATTACGGAGATTAATTAATTAAACTCAAGGCTTTCATACAGTACGTTCTGGGGTGTGCTGGGCGGTAGTGTAGGCAAACCGATACTCCGACAAAAACGATCCAATAAATTTAGCGCAGGCATTGTTTGCATTTAAATAACCCAGTTTTAGAAAACAGCTAGGCATGCTGCCCAGCTTCGCTTAGGCTTTCGAAAACATTGAGAATTTGAATGCTTAATTAATTCGCCCGTGGTTGATGTACGACCTCAGGAGTTATGAAGAGGTTCCTACGTTGACATTTTTTTTTCGATTTGTAGCTCATATAAGGCGAGGTCAGTTTTGACCCCTCATCGTGCCAACCGGCCCCCGTGTTCTGTTGCCCCAAGGCAAGATCCTGTCAAATTTGAAGCGCCTGCGGCGCCGGGAAGTGCCCTATTGGGCACCCGACAACTTTGCTTTATATATTATAGAGATTAGCAAATTGCATAGATAAACAAAGATTTCAATAAAGTAATTAAGGCCTGAAATACTTTATAATAGAAATGTATTATTTCAATAGATTCTAGATCTAGGTAGGGTCTACATCTGCGTTAGTCTAGTTTTTCCGTAGATCTTTTCTAATTTATACGGAGTAATTTTTAATTTTAAAATTATATCTTATATCGTTTAATTTTACAATAGGTTACACTCCCATTTAACCACCAAATATTGTACAAGTTATTTTATATGAAGCAATGTCGATTTTAGATATTGAAAAACCTTCCACGACATGAAACATGCTACTCAAACTCTAACCCTAAGCCCAAACAAAAGAGACTACGTATGTATATAAACCTACACACATTTTAAACTTTTTACTTGACGACGTGCTATTGTGTTACCTGTGTGTAGTGTTACACAATAGGGAACAAAGAAACTGCACCCGTCTGTATTAGACTAGTTAATGACCTTGATAAAGCAGACAAGCGACGTTTGAAGGTCGTATCTTCGTTTCTAAACTTTAAGTTTTATTCATAAATTATAACGTCTAGAAAAAGCAATCTGGCAACATTTATTAAAATATCTCTATCAGAAGTTTTAAAAACACGATAATATCGTTTACTATATCGTATTTCAAACTGAAAAAAAACAATTAATTAAAAATTTGTGTCAATAAAATAATCAGTTCTGCTAGAAGTTAAGAATGTAATACTATATTCCCCCTTTGATGCCAATAATGAGCCATTTTAAATTATTACCATTCCTCTATTACTGACGTAAGATTTGCTATAGATTTAATCGATTGGAGGGGGGTGGAAAGGGAGGACAAGATTTTATAATGCAATGTAATAACGTCATTGATTGGTCGACAGCAGTCAGCAGTGTTTGCAATTCATATTCTAAATATAGACAGTTCCCCACAAGGGGGCGCTGTATAAATGTGCAGCAACCGCAAGCGGATCTTCAATCCTTCGGGTAATTTTAATCCATATTCTACAACTCACAACGCTTTTGCAAAGTATAACAAAACTTTTTACTTCTTGATTAATTGGTAAGTTTTATTAAAACGTTATTCTTTAACAAAGTTTGTTTTTTAGCTTTAAACATAGAATACATAGTGATTTTCTAAACATTTACTTACAATGAAACTCTGATTTATCTTTATTATAAAAACGCACATGAAATACATTGAAAACAAAACAGTATATAGATCAAACACTAAATCAGTATTTACGTTCAAGCGATACATATATTTCGTGTTATATACAAGATAAGTCGTGGAAGCAATATTTAAATAAATAATGTATATATTAATTGTTTTAATTTTTCGAGTAAAGATTATCTTCATTCATTTTTGTAATAGAAAAAAAGTGTCTTAGTTTCTGCGAATAAAATAGAACATTGCCCATACCAGTAACCAGAAAAACTAAAATTCACACCAAAAAAACATCTACAAGAACAAAGTGGGTCAACAAAATGGCGTAGTTGAAATAATTTAAGCCCTTTGTGTTTTAATGTACGCTTGGTTGTCTACCTACCTCGTTGGGAGGAGTAGGGGCGGACACTGGTAAACTATTTTTTTAAATATTTCACCCAGGGGGAGGGTGGGATAATAGGGAGTGGGGTAACAAAAATTCTTTAGAAGGGGGGGGGGGTACACTTCATTCCTCAGCGAAGTAATTCCTGAAAGAACCTGCGTGCAGAGGTATTTTATATTATTATGGCGGTTTATTGCTATCAGCCTATGTTTGGTTGTGAGGTATTTATAATACTCCTTGATTGTTCAATTTCGAAGAAAACTGTACCTAGAAAATGAATGAGTCATGGGAACGAAATGCGCGTATTGAAAATTTAAGGAGCGGTTGTGTACAGGATAGAAGAGCTAACTTCTAGAAATACACCCCAGAGATCCGCATAAAACCGGTTTTAGAAATGTTTTAGCTATCCTATTGTTCGCTCTGGTATTTTGTTTCGCTCCTGCAGACAGGTGCAGCAGACCAACGTTGATCCAAGCAAAGCTTAAAAATAACTCGCCGTTTTTTGTGCAACCGACAGTAAAGTGTCTGTAATTTGAATTAATTTATATATGCCTGTTTAATTACTTCATCGTTA